TCATGTTTAAAACTAGAATATTTCCAAAATTTTGCTTTAATAAAGTATCAAATATTCATATGTTAACAAAATTAAACATCATACATAATTGCTTGATCCAACGGTTTCGGCTCTCCGTGTTTTTTTATCTAAAAAGTAAAACAATTTAGAGAAAATGTGTATAAGACGAAAGATCAAAATACTCTTTCTAAATCTAAAAGATACTAAATCTAATTTTTATAAATTAATATATTTAGTAATAAATATGTAATATATTTAATATACAAGGACATGGCGAGTCGGGAGCACATTACCCGACCCCATTCCCATCCTCGATCTTTAACTTTCGGGGATCCCCGCCCCCATCCCCGATCCACGGTACACCAGGTCCCCCAATGGTGTGACTCTCATTTCCATGCCTACATGGACGAGACAGGAAGGTATAGGCCACATGCCAAATTGAGATGTGATTGTAAAGTTTTGACCTAGAACTTTGTCTTGAATGATTTTACTTTCACCAGTCACAGAAGTGCACCAAACCCAAAGAGGATATCTTGGTACATGAGTAGCACAAACAGTAAGAACATAATGAAAGATACAATCCTTAAGGTATGAGATCATTTTAGGTGTAACTAGTGATTTTGGTTGTAACAAGGATGTTGTCAATAAGGTTGTTGGATTTGATGGATGGCAGATGCTTTAATAACCATAGTTGTAGGTTTTTGAGTTCAAAGAAGAACAAGGAGTTGCGTAAGATATTTTCTTTATTGTAGAAATGTCAAAACTCACCGCCCCCTCCCCCTTAACCACCCCACCTTCTTCTTCTCCAAAACAATGCCATCATGTAACCATTCCCACATCATCATTATTTGTAGTGTATGTTTCATTTTAGGTACCTTGATTTTCTTAACCTCATTGTTTAGTATATGAAACACTCTCTTTAAGGAAGATTTCCCCTTTTGTATGCAACTCGCACCATCAATTAACTAATACGATCGATCATGTTAAGGCCTTTTGTTCCCTTTCAATCGACCTCCTTCCACAACACACTTCCAACACCACCATCCAATAGTTGCTGACGCCATAGCAAAGTAAACATAAGAGTGAGTGATCTTGTTAGTGTCATTTCATCCATACTCTTACTTCGCAAGCTTACAAAATGTGGTAAATTATTTCTTCGACACAAAGCCCATGTTTCACATACAAATACATATTAACATACATCATTGGAATAGTATAATTGGTTAAGTTATCATTATTCTAACACACCGTATGTACTTATGAAACTCAACAAACTTAACTAAAATGAGGATAACCAAAGAAATGAAGAGCAAAAGATAAACGAGAACCAAACCGTTATGTTATTTAGGAAAGTTTGTTCGAAATTGAGTTTCTGTAAACTGGGGGAAGAAAAGAGTGGGCGAAGAAGAAAGTAAGTGAAAATGTCCAAAATTGCTCTAATGTGTAGGGCACATGGTATACTTAATACTGAATAACTTAACAATTGTTAAGGCAGAGGATGAAATTCGAAACAAAACGAACACTATAGAATGCCTAGTGTAATTCTGAAAGTCAAGTGACAAAAACTAGAGCTTAATGAAACTACTTGACAAAAACTAGTGTAATAAGGGGTTCAAATGAGAATTCTATCTAAATAAGAAAATAAGATGATGGATCGCAACCAATCATTTATTTGAATAATGTCTTAAAAAAAACTTTCTTAAAAATCATTTAAAAGGACATATATGTCATTTGTTGCATATGAATTATATATGGATCATTTATTTCTATAAAAGTTATTTAATACATTTGATTAAGGTATTTATTTATATATACATTTTTACAATTTTCATGATTTAAGCATAATTAATTTTTCATTTGAAAAAATTACTTTTTTTGACATTTATAGAATATCAATGATTTAGTTTTTCATTTAAAATATTTTATGGAAGTAAATTTTTGTACAATTTTCGTCAAAAATCACATGTGATATCCAAAATTAATCGACTTCTGTTTTCCAAGAAAATCACTAATTTTCATAAAAATATCATACGTGATATGGATTATAGTAAATTAAGTGGAAAACAAATATAAGTTATCTACAATATCACATGTGATATTTGTAAATTATGAATTACATTTTGAATTATATGTGATTTTATACATCTTAAATATATTATGCTACACATCATATATGATTTTGTTTCTATTATTTTTATTTTTCAATGTTTAATTTGAGTCACTGTTTTTCACACTTCAATTCACATGTGAATAGAAATTTTCTTTAGAAAAAAAATCAATTAATTATGAATCACATGTGATTTTCACTAAAATTTTCATTTTTTTAAAATATTGAATTAAAATAAATTCTTCAAATGAAAATTAAATTACGTTTATTTTAAATAAGAAAATGGAAAATGAAAATCTTAAATAAATAAATCTTATATAAGTAAATGACTTTTATGCCCTTATTTATTTATTTTTGATTTTGATTTAAGGTATTATTTAATGAATTATATGATCTTTACTAATTCTTTTATTTTTTTTATTTAGTTATTGTTCTCTTGATTTAATATTTATCAAAACTGTAAGCAAGAAACCAAAAAAAAAATGACACCTTATTTCTTCTTAAAAAATTATTGTATTTCTTAAAAAAAATCGATCAAGATATTCTTAGGAGGCGTTTGGTTCGTCAGAATCCGATGGAATCTGATAGAATTAGAATGATCTATTATGTCAAACAAATGGTATTATAATATGCTTTTTCACATTTTTAGTGCCATTATTATTGTATATATTGTAAAGAAATATAATTTATTTGTTAAATACCTTTTTTTTCGTTTTATAAAAATGTAAAAGCCACAAAAAAGAAGAAGCCCAACAATGTTTTTTTTTATTTGCATAATTATCAAATCTGAAGAATATTTTTCCTCTCGTTTTCTTCACATTATTACAAAGATTCTGCTAAAACAAAAAAAATACAAAAAAGATTCAAAATCTCGATTTTATTCATATCAAATATTTTCATTGAGATGCTTTTATGATCTCTATCCTCCAAAAAAGATAAGAATTAATACATATTATCTGTTATTAAAAACTTGATTTATAAGATTTCTTTTGTATTTTCTAAATATGGAATTTTTTTCTTGTCTCTTATTTCCACTTACTCCTTTTAAAAGAACATTTTAGGAATTACGTGGGAATAAAAACAATATGATCTCTGTTTTAATTTTTTTTAGAGGCTATTTAACTGCCAGGTCTTGTAAGGAAAAATGCATAAAGCTGATTGTATGGACTAATCGTCTTATGGATTGAAAAAGTTTTGCTGTAGATAAAAGAATGTTTTTTTTAATTGAAAGAGACATGTTCGAAAAAACTTTTTCTACATAAAACTCTCCCTCATAACTTACCAAATAAGCCAATATCAAACAATTATATATAGACATTATTTAGCAAACATAAGCTAGCTTATTTTCTGTGTACATGTTTGGATGACCATATGCTAGTTTATTTTCTGTGTACATGTTTGGATGACCATAAGCTAGCTTATTGAGAGTAACATTTTAGGAGGTTATTGTCACTTTTTCTAATTATAAAATATATTAATATCAATTAATAATAATAATAAATATTAAATATTAAATGTATCTTGTAAGCTATCTTATTGAAATACTATATGTGGTAGTGTTTTGAGAGCTTATTGTGACTTTTTTTTAATTATAACCATCATTAATATCAATATTATTTACTGCTACT